AGGCCGAAAGAATCGGTATTAGCCTGTGTGTCCATCTACCGTTCTCTGCTGCATCCCACTCTTGCTGCCACTTAGCCGTTGACACCGTTCTCACCATTTTTCGTACTCCTCTTGTATCGCTCGTCATATAGCACTCCGCCAAGGTGATGCCGATTGGGATCATACCGGCGATAACGCATACTGCCTCCATCCAAATGGTTCTGTACGCACTCACGACTCGCATAGCCATGAGCCGGAACATACTGCTCAATTTCCTTTGTTTTCAGCGCTTCAATCCAGGCTGGACCTCCGTACTGACCAACATCACTTCTGTTTTGTGGTGGGCTATCTGCAGCTTCGCTCCTTGCATCCAGTTACCAATCGTATCTATCGCCTCGGCCGCCAGCATTTTCACTTCTTCCAGCGTCTCGCCGGTTACCGTCAAGACTACATCGTGCGCAAAGCCAACGATCTCAACACATTTGGGCAGCTTGAGCGTCAGCACGCCATTGTACATTCCATTCCACAGCGTGGGACCTAGAATGGAGCCTTGTGGAACTCCCGTCGTGATTCTAAGCGATTTCTGCCCCGTGTCTCTCAACAATGTCGCATTTTTGGCCATTGTGGACAGCTTTAGTCCGGGAGTTACAAGGTGATAGCTCTATTGCAGATCCAGCAACCCATTTCAGAATGTCTGGAGAGTCACGCCCATTCCGAGGTTACTTTCACTTACCATAAGCCCCGGATGTATGTATTAGCTTTATCAATTGGATATTAGAATTACACACACACACCCTTCCAGTTTCAAAATGTTCTTTTGAATCTTGGCACGTATTTAGTTTATGTTTTTACCCTTCTTACAAAGAAGGGTATAGATATCACTTGAAAAACCGACTATCGATCCGAGGCCCGGAGGGCCGAGTGTCATACACCATTCGACTCAGCTCGAAGAGATCGGAACATGTCTGTGTGTGTATGTGTGTATGTGTGTATGTTTTTTTTTTTTTTTTTTTTATAGTAAGGTTTAGGAAAGCTTCAAGAAGCCTGGCCTGTAGTGAAGGTGGCACGGTGTGGTATCCACTAGTTGCCTAGTGCAGCTCCACTAAAACCCATTCCTTACTCTCTCCTCTGCCTGGATCCCCCCGGGACCACTGTGAAGCGACTACTTCGGGGGGTGGCTGTGCTCATGCACTTGTCGTACTCTCAGCGCTAGCTGGCGTTGCTAGATCGCTGCTCTTCTCTCCATTTACGCTGCAGCTCTGACATAATCTGTGTGACTGCCCTGCTGACGGCATTCCAAGAGTCCTCCTCTCGACACATTTCATCGACGACATTCTCCACGTTAAGGACGGGCATCTCCGTTCGCACTGCCTCGAACCTTGGACAGTCAAAGACCACATGCTCCGGCGTTTCATCGACGTTGCCACACTCCGGACAGAGGGGTGACGCTGCGTGTCCGAACCGATGCAGGTATTTCCTGAAGCAGCCGTGGCCAGACAGGAACTGCGTTAGGTGGAAATTGACTTCTCCGTGTTTTCTGTTCACCCAGGTCGAAAGAATCGGTATTAGTCTATGTGTCCATCTACCGTTCTCCGTCGTGTTCCACTCCTGTTGCCACTTAGCCAATGACTCCACTCTCACAACTTTCCGTACTCTTCCGGCTTCTCTTTGCCTGTAGCACTCACTGTCCTCCGCCAGGGTGATGCCGATAGGGATCATACCGGCGATAACGCATACTGCTTCCGACGAGATGGTTCTGTACGCACTCACGACTCGCATGGCCATGAGCCGGAACGTACTGCTCAGTTTCCTTTGGTTCTGCTTCGTTTCCAGCGCTGGAACCCAGGCTGGACCTCCATATCTCAGTATCGATGATGACACGCTGGCCAGAAGACGCCTCTTGCTACTGCTGGGACCAGCGTTGTTCGGCATGATTCTAGCTATCGCGTTGATGGTCTTCGAAGCCTTCTCACAGGCATATTCGACGTGGCTGTTGAAGTTTAGCCGGTCATCGATCATCACTCCCAGGTATTTTAACACACGCTTCGAGGCTATGGTGTGCTCCCCGACGGTGATTTCCGCCCGCTGTACCGCTTTACAGTTACTGACCAATAACACTTCCGTTTTGTGGTGGGCTATTTGCAGCTTCGCTCCTTTCATCCAGTTACCAATCATGTCGATTGCCTCGGTTGACAACACTTCCACCTCTTCCAGCGTCTCGCCTGTTACCGTCAAGACGACGTCGTCCGCAAAGCCAACGATCTCAACTCCTTTGGGCAGTTTCAGCGTTAGCACGCCGTTGTACATCCCGTTCCAGAGCGTTGGACCAAGGATGGAGCCTTGTGGAACTTCCGCTGTGATCCTAATCGATCTCTGTCCCATGTCTGTCTCGTAGACCAGAACCCGGTTCTGGAAATAACTCCTCAGGATCCTGCACAGGTAGTCAGGGACCCTCATTCTATGCAGTGCTTCGGCGATGGCCTCCCAGCTGGCGCTGTTGAACGCATTCTTGACGTCGATCGTTATGACGGCGCAATATCGATCTCCTCTCCGCTTCTGTTTGGACGCCTTTTCAGCTCTCTCGACCACTGTCCGAATTGCATCCACCGTCGATCTCCCTTTCCGGAATCCGAACTGCCTCTCCGACAATCCGTGCTCACTCTCCGTGTATTTCGTCAGCCTGTTTAGGATGATCCTCTCCAAGAGTTTTCCGAGTGTATCCAGCAGGCATATAGGCCTGTATGATGCTGGATCCCCCGGCGGTTTTCCTGGTTTCGGCAGCAACACTAGCTTCTGTATCTTCCACCTGTCAGGGAAGTGACCCTCGTTCAGGCATTTCTGCAGCACCATCCTGAACATGTCCGGGGATGACTGGATCGCCGCTTTCAACGCTACGTTGGGGATTCCATCCGGACCGGGAGCTTTCTTCACCTTCAATCCTTTCGCCACTACTACGAGCTCCTCGTTGGTGATTTCGACGTTATCTCCCTCTCTTTCTCCGTACGGTGTAGGTGGCCAGGTTGTTGGGTCGTGCTTCGGGAAAAGTCCTTCCACGATGACTTTCAGCTTCTCTGGGCACATTTCAGCGGGCATCGTTGGACCTCTGATCTTCGCCATCACGACTCGGTATGCGTCGCCCCAGGGGTTGGCATCAGCGTCTTGACACAGCTCCTTAAAACAGTTCGTGTGTGTATGTTTGTATGTGTGTATGTGTGTATGTGTGTGTGTATGTAACGAAATGAATGCGCTCACGTTTCTCAGCAACCGCTCAACCGATTTGGACAAGCTCGGCGCCAAATGATAGGTCTTGGGGTCCCATTGAACGCTATTGAACGGTTTTGGAATCGGTGAACCGGTTCCGGAGCTATGGCCGGAATAAGATCCGGTGAATATGGGCCTTCACGCTGGATTTAACGGAAAACGTATCAAAACCATCATGCGACACATCAAATTACTACAGAATTCAAAAATAAGATCAATGCAAGTCGTGTTAAGTGTTCCAGACCACATTGGACACACTTGGACATGTTCCGGGTACCCCGGGGAAGTTGCTTGAATATGAATTGAATTAAAACCCATTAAATCACATTAAAATACGATGATAAGGTGATTGGTAGCCTCACCAAATAGACTACACCCGGATATATTCCGGGTACCCCCAGGCAGTGGCGTAGCGTCACTGGATGACACGGGGGTGGGGGGCTTGGTCACTGATAATGACAATAAAATAAATAAACTTGAATAAGTAAGAAGGGTATGATCACACCATAGGTGGATAAATTCGGGTTTTTTTTAAATTGTATACATTATTTGGACTGGTCTCACCATGTTAAGCAATACTTCCTTCGACGAACACAAATGTTCTTGCATTGCCATGGTCATCTGGGAGGAGGTTCGCTTCTAGTGCTTTCCTCATGAACCTTTTGCGGCCACCAGCTACCACCCGTCCAGTCTAAGGCGTATCCAGCGAGGCATCTTTCATATTGCTCGCATTCTCCGACACCGGCGAGAGACCAGCAGCCGAGCACTTTTGCATGCGGAAAACTTGCTGATTCACAGCCACGTCGGCCACCGAATCACCACCAAAACCTCGCGATGGACACATTATCAGCACATTCCTGGGCTAATTCACCAACCGGACCGGGTTCAAACTCGCCCACGGTGACGAATCTCTCAATAGAACAGAACTACACGCCGAAAGTGTGGCATCCGAACTCGGAGAACCGGGCTCGCGGGAGGCAATGAAAACCGACACCGAACAATGGAACTGAAGATGCGTCTTAGATTTTGGAGGTTAGATTCAAGGTCAACCGAGTCCCTCAAGATTATGAACACTTGAAAATAAATTTCAGCACACAAATTAACAAATTTAAAGTAAACAATGTTAAAATCGCTGACGGAAAATACGCAGCAAAAGAAAAACACGTTAGTTTTCAAGTGCGGTCTACTGCGATCGTTCAGAAGTTGCGACCGGCCATGTATAGCCAAATATAGTACGAGAAGGATCTAAAACTTGCCGAAAATATGCTATGCCATTTATGGATGTTCCCTAAAGGGCCACCAACATTAGATTCGTTTGCGTTGCGTTGACGTAAATTTGACAGTTAGACAATAGATTTAGCTGTCACTTTGCCGGATCGCGTTCGATCCGAATCTAATGTGGGTGGCCCTTAACTGCTTCTACTTGGGCTGTCACTCACTAAGCCTACACTCAACATGAAAACACCCTAACGGGAGGCAAACTATGGACCCTATTATGTAAGTCAATTTGAGCGTCACTTTTGGTCACTGGTCTATTTTGGTATTACAGAAGTAATACCAAATTACACCAGTTACCAGACGTGACGCTCGCCTCGACTTACATAATGGGGCCCAATGACTGTGTAATCGATAGCCTAGTTGTCATAACTCTTAAGAGATCTGTAGCATGTTATGTAAAGAAGTTTGTGTTTAAACAAACAACACTGATACTAACCACTTCTATTAATCTCTGTTTCTTTCTTTTCTCTCTCCCCCAACAGGCCTTGGAAATCTGAGGCTCTCATTGTTGGCCATATAGACAATGACCGAAGACTCCGATTCGATATCTGAGGAAGAACGTAGTTTGTTCCGTCCTTTCACCCGTGAATCATTAGCAGCCATTGAGAGACGCATCGCAGATGCAGAAGCAAAACAGCGCGAACTGGAAAAGAAGCGAGCCGAGGGGGAGGTAAGCCGCATTTTTTCCCACTCCTACTTCATCCGAGTGTTACAAAAAAATGATGCTATGTAACTACTAGAAAAACGAGTGCTGCTGCTTTATACGCTTTCTCCCTCTCTTTCTCTCTTTATGTGACTCATTTTGCCTTTCCTGACAAGGAAAATTAAAATATAAATATTTCCCGTTTTCTGAACCACCCACCCCCCTCCCACCTTTGTATCTAGCCTCCGCAACACACAGCTTTCTGCTTTTATGTAATTTTAGACCGCCCTTTCCTTTTATCTTTATCTCTCTCTCTCTATCTGTGGTATTTCCCGCTATTCAGTGCTTGAAGCTCAGTAAAAAAAATGCTCTAAAAATTGCCATCATTCCCAAGAGAAAACAACAAAACTTTCGCCCTGTCTCATCTCTTAATCCCTTCAAACTCATTTCTTTTCATCGCGTTCCATTAGAAGCTCTTCATCGGCGAACGGTTTTCATTCTCATTATTCCTGTGTAAAATAAGAATTATAGCCTTCCATCGTTGTGTTGTTTCTCAAAAACTCGCTCCTTCCGCTCATTTTAAATCATTAAATTTTCCGTTAAATCCATATCTCAGAACCTACCTGTCACATTCGTCGATGTCCTCCCCTATCACTTATGTCAAATTTTTTTATTTTTTTCTCGTTTTAAGTTTCATTACAATTGTTTACTGAGTGAAAAAAAAAAGATGCTTTAGTTGTACATATTTCGATGGTATTTTCCACAAAGCGTACCTTCTGTAAACTAACCGAACCGCTTTTTCGTCAATCAGTCGTTGTTTACGTGTTTTAGGTTTCCTTTATTTTTTTTTCTGTTTAAAACTGAGATAACGCTCGAAATCTGTCATTTTTTCAAGCCCTTTGGGAAAGTGTGTCAAATCAAGGTTACTCTCTTTTCTTTCGTTTGTTCTGGAATGATTGATGCAAAATGCGAGTTTTGGTTGGATTTCTTTGAGATTTCATCTCGTCGTTGTTACCGTTCTTGTTACTGAATTGGATTTTCGTTTTTGGTTCATGAAATTTTACGATAATCGCACAATTGTTTCCGTTAGAGTTTCCTTTTGTTTGCTCTGAAAAATGTTCTATCTCATGCAAAAGCAAAGCATAGTCGTGATTGGCCAATTAGAATCTTTTGAATAGTTGCTAGCGTGCAAGTGTTTCAAAAAGAGTCTGTTCAAAATTCTGTGGGATGGATCATTAGTTTCATCAGATTGGTATTTTCCTTTCGTTTGTTTGGATCGCAATTCCTCCACCAGGTCGTCGTCTAGTTCTCCAACCATCCGTCAGCTCATAAAAAAAAATCAGCGAATTCGCTCCCACATCGTCATCCCTCGCTAAAGAATCGACCAACAATCTCTAACCCCCAAAAATTCAGAAAACCAATCGGATTGAACAATCAATGCCTTGCAGCCGCCATACTCACATTTATACACCTTTGACTGAACAGTCGTTAGATCTCAAGCTCGATTCGCCATTATCTAGTTTTGTGCTATCAAACACATACCGTAACACGCCCACACTCACACTGATTCACATAAAAATAATCACATTTTTTACTTGAATGAAGTAACAGCCAACTAGATCGTTAGACGCTGAATCGCCTAGTGAACCATCACCAGTTTGTTTGTTTGTCAACAAAAAGAAAAAAAAAAAAGACAATTGAATGCTCCATGCGGAAAATGCCAGAAAGCTGCATAGATGCGCCATTTTCATAGCAACCCTCATTAGAGCTAAAACCAAATTTGACCCCAATTTGAGTGCTAAAAATTTCCCAAATTGAACCCCAAAGCGCGAGAAAAGCTCATTTTGCTAAGAAGAAAATAATAATAACAACAAACAATCAGTTATAGTGAACTATGTTCAAACCTAGAATCTCACCGCAACCACAAAAACACCAAGTTTTACCAGCTAACTAGATTCCATACTTTTTTTCCCCCATCAACTTGCGTTTTGCGTTTGTGCGTTTGTTTTCCTTTACATATAGTAAACAATATCAACAGCAACAACAATAACAACAAACAACAACAGATCGGTGTCAATTGTTGTTTTTGTGTGTCTGGTACCACCACCAATTTAGCTAAGCCATTTTTGCCAAAATACCTTATATTATCAACTAGCGCCTAAGCTCATACTATTTAGCAAATCAACCACCAAAAACAAAAAAAAAAAACTAACCAAACGCAGCAAAACTAACATCAACATGTAATATACATATTTTCAGACTGGTTTTGGTCGGAAGAAAAAGAAAAAAGAAGTAAGATTCCTATTTCCAACTTTTATCATCCATTTCTTTTAGTATTCCCAGTTTTTCTTTTATCTTTTGTCGAGTCAAATCAGTATGTTTCTTCAATTTACGAACCACCAAAGCGCATTCATCCGTAACCGTTTTGATAGAACTACACCTATTTTTTCGGTTGTGATTGCGTTTTTTTCTTTTTTTCTTTTTTGTCGAAGTTTGATCATCACTTGTATTAGTTTGTTTAGGTTAGCGAAAATAAGACAATGTGGTCGCAGGTTTTTGTTTTGGTCACGATTCCGATCACCGAAAACCATTTGCAAGTTTTTCGTTTTGTTTTTATTTTTAGAATCCATAGAATGTCACTGTGTTCAGAAATGAGGAATGAGAATGTTTAGATAAACAATCGTTCATTTGCAAAGTTAGGAAGTGACTTTATTGGGTTCCTTTAAGTTCAGGAGAAACAGTATTGAATACGAGTAATGAACTGTCATTTTCACGTATTTCTTTAAAAAATCAACGCCCAAGTTCATCTAGTTCTCTCTTTCTGTGGTCATAATTCAATTATTTTTCTTTTTGCTAAGTTTTAACTAAGGCTTCCCCTGTCTAGTAACTGATTTGCTACTTCACTTCATTTATGCATTACATTACATCAATCATCATACTACTATTTTACAACTAGCAGGTGGAAAATGCCTCCACTAATTTTGTAAACCAAAAACTTACGCGAATCAGAGTTCCCCCACGTAAACAAACAACACTATCGAATAGGGTAATTCCAGTAATTATCGGGTGGATTTCGTTCCAATTAGAAACTGCAAGGAAGCGCTCTAGAAGCTTTGCTTATAAAATTAGTGAAAGCATTTTCGGTTGTTGGTCGTGATTTGTCAGAACATTACAAAAAGATGTCACTTGATCACCGGATGACATCAGGCACTCATTCCAGAGAGAGTTCCCGTCTCTTTCAAAACGAAGGCACTCATTAGTATTGTGTAAACAGGCATCTTCTGACTGGAACAAGATAGATGCATTGTATTTCATCCATCAACACCAACACGTTTCCGGTGAACAATACCTTTCTTAATCGCTGGTACGCAAACGAAACTACCCTCGAATATGTTTAAATAAGCAAAGTCAAAAATACGCATTTAACGGTCGAATTATTTGTTTCCGAGTGTCGCGCATAGTCAATTAGAGTCTGTGTCGAGGGGAGCGGCTCTATCTAAGATGCAGGACAAATATTTTGCTTTGCTGTTGTGAGATGCGCGCACACTTATTAGATAGAAGGAATATTGATGAATATTTTGAAGATTTCGTGAAAAAAGGTGAAGAGAGATGCGAGTAGATGGATTTAGATGCAAGAGATGAAAAAAGATTTTTCGTAGATTGAATCGTTATCGTGAGATTTGTTGACCCTTTCTAATCGATACACTCCTCGCAACAGGAAAATCCACGAACCCCTCATTTTATCTGTCAAACTTGGGATACGTCAATCGATTTGCGTGAGACCAACAGGCTAGTCTAGTAGTGAGCCAATTTAAAATCGTTAGTTTCCACCGATTGGTGCCCTGCTTGTCACAACAGATAGCACTGCCTACTGAGTAGTTCCACGCTAAAAGATGAATCGAAAAAACTCGACCTTCCTCGATTTGTATGACACATTGCATAATTGTGTGTTATGGAGAATGATTCACATTTTTTCTAAATCTCGACCATTTTGGATCTTGTAAAATTTCTAAAATGGCGTTTTTTATATTTTCAATAAATTGTAGCACGGCAACGGCTATTATGATTGAAATGATGTCTGTGACAAAGTTGTAGAGAAAACTTATGTTTTTCTGGGAAAAATATTCACAGAAATGTTAAAACCCTAAATATCTAAGAGGTAATCTGCACACTTAGAAATAACTAATTTTACACGTGATGGAATCCATCGTTGACATAAAAGATGATACGTAAACAAACATGTCATGTAATTTTAGGTGCTCCGAGCAGTGCTGCACAATTTCGACAATACACGGTGATATTCAAAATTCTGCTTTGGTCACTCGTTTGAGCTAACATTCATCGTCAAGGCAAACCATGTCAATTATCAGTGGCATTTTTGTCAGTGACGAACATGTGCTGATTTGTTTATTAGCTAAATTTAAAATGAAATTAAATGGCTTGAGGAAAACAATTACATGGACCCATTAAAGTGAACAAGCATCTACGTCCTGAACAGCTTGGATAACAATAATGTTACTCAGAATGCAAGAAATTACCCTTTCTGTTATCAGGTGAGTCTTTGTCATTGACGAAAAAATGAATGAGATTTTGACAAAGATTTTTTTGAGGATCAAGTCTATCATTGACTATGTGAAAAACAATTGTGTCAATATCGCGCAAAAGTCTGTCAATGACAATGACAAATCTCAGCACTGGCTCCGAGACTGAAAACTTCGTTGCTCGACGAAAATTGCGTTAGATTAAGCTAAATTTTGCGTCTGTTAAGACTCAAATTTATGTCAAAATTGACGCTCGTATATGTCACTCTCAGAGCACCTAAATTTACATGAAGTTTTCTAAGTGTGCGCACACTGTGCCGAAACATAGTAGGGCACACTATTTGGCACGTTAGGACACACGTTTACAAGTAGGACACAAACAATACAACAATATAAAATGGTAGCACTGTCTAGTGTTGACGTTTTGCCAATCGTTGCTAAGGTTAACTTCTTTGTTTACTCCATTGGGCTTCACAATGGGTTCGAGGATCGTTCCTCGCCACTTTTCGAAAAATTCAAAGGAAAAGTTCTGTAAGTATTGTCTGCATCATGAATTTCTTCAAAACCAACAAAAGTAAGTTTACCTCATCCGATTCGTGCCGAAAAGTCCAGTGGCTCGTGGTTTGGTCCAGAATAGCTTTTATTCGGGCATAACGCCAACAGAGTTCTTCCACACCATGGTCGGTCGAGACGGTCGATACGGCAGTCAAGACGGCCGAAATGCGTTACCTCCAGCGACGGTTGATCAAGATCGTTCAACTCGACGGTACGGTACGGAATGCGATTGGGGAACAGGGGGGGGAGGAGGTAGGTAACTGTCAAATACGAAAAATCGTCGCTTACCTCGCATAACTGGTTCCATCATGGTTGGTTGATGCAGTGCTGAGTTACATCACAGTACTGACAGCCTTTAGATTGACAAAAGTGATTCCTACGGTTAACAATCAAAACAACTGAGAACCCTCTCTCCGTAAAACTTCTAACCAGTATGACACAACAACCGTGAGATATCGTTGTTTTGCTTTTCTTGTTCATTCGCAATATCACTAACATCTGCCATGTGTTACCATCATATCACCGAGGGAATGTAAACATATAAATTGACCGTCATCTCATTTCGAGCATGAATACGGTTATGACGGTCATTTCCCTTCCAAAATCACGGATAAGGCGATAGCTTGATTATTCAGTATAGAGATTTTGCAGCTTTTCTTTTTTCGGATACCGTGACGCTTGAGCTCCAAGAATAAGGATGCAGACAGCACATCGTATCCACATTACCGAAGCCCAAGTATCAAGGAATCCGTAAAAAGAAAAACCAATAAAAAATCCTTGCGTAAACAGGAATTCCCCTCTAAATATTGGAATTTTGGCTAACAATCAAAGCAACCATTGGTATCCATCAACAAATAAAACTTCAAATCGTTACTTTGAACTTGAAGTCCGTAAGGGAACGCAATGTATTTCAATAAATCTTCGCTAAAATGAATAGCGAATTCGTTTATTATTCAGTTCCAACCTGGATCGGGTATCAAGATTGGATCTGCTTGTTTTCGGACAAACGTCAGTTTGATCGTTTGTTTTTAAAACCCAGCTCAGGTTGAGGTTTGCACTGACAAAAAGTTCGGTTTCACACTGATTTGTCGAAGTTCCACCTGTTGGTTCCGTGATGTTCCTTGCAATTTTTCGGAGCAATTCATAAATTTAAGATTTTTCGTTTCACTTGTCACACGAAACGTAATAACATTGAAAAGATATTTATTTTGACAGTAAAATTCTCGTGAACTTGTCAATTGTGAGTTGTGCCAGTTTTTAGATCTATTAAGCATCGTAAACAATGACGCGTACGTAAAAGAGAATTGATATTGCCGATGGATCATAAAAAAAGTGAAAATGGCTTTAAATGGCATGTTGAGAAATTGAATTTTTGAAGATAAACGGATATTTTTTGACATTGTAACGTAATAGCACCCACATATTTATTTGTTACAAGGAAAATGAAAATCCAACGTTTTCTTCAAAATGTTTCGTATGTTCTGAACTCAACAACTTTTAACAAGAACAGGAAAATGTGGGAGCATTATTCTCACTTCCCACTTATAAATGCCCAACAGAGATGATCAGTGAGAGAATGATTTTGCTAATCTCTCCTTGTCATTTAATCTAACAGTCATGGTTGGCTTTTATGAAGACGGTCTAGTGAGGTAGAGTTGTTTCCAAGTGATATGCTAGTTGACCGTCATTTTTTAGATGTGACGGTTATGCGAGGATGACCGTCAAGGTACAATAACCGTTATGATAATGCACAGCACTGGGTTGATGTTTGGAACCAAATTCCCATATGGAAAACCAATGAGCATAAACAGGTGAGGCCCAGTACATTTGTCGTCTCTTTTGTTCTCCGGCCGTTTAAATGGAAGACGGAGTTTGACGTCACACTCCTTCAACCGTTGAAATGAAAAAAACTTGCCATCCCATGAAATCGTAACCATGCTTGGCATACACAGTTTTGCTCACGAACTGCTCATTTGCTAATAACTTTGCACAGAGTTGACGAAACATAGTTCTGTTTGAAGCGGTCGATATAATAGTAACCATTTGGAATCCACTCTGATTTATGATGGTTTTATAATGACAATGAAAAATCCATTTAGTTTAAGTACAGCATTTCAAAGTGTAAACCACTCCTACTTAGTAATTCAGCTTTTTGCTGTTGTAAAAACCTTTTATAGGCTGGCAAGAAAGTCAAAA